CAGCTCGCTTGCCAGATTGCTGCCAGCAGCTTGCAGCCTGCTGCTGCCAGTTTGCTGCCAGCAAGCTGCCGCCAGCCGCGCCAGCGGCTCGATCACAACTTGCCGCCGCCAGCACGCTGCTGCCAGCTCGCCGCTGCCAGCTCGTCGCCAGCAGCTCGCCGCCACTGCCACCTTACTGCCGCTTGCTACTGCTACCGCCTGCCTACAATCAATGACCACTGCCACCAGCCCGCTGCCAGCCGCCGCTGCCGCCAGCTTGCTAGCTGCCACCAGTCTGCCACTAGCCGCCACTGCTGCCGGCCTGCAAATTGCTGCCACTACCACCAGCCTGTCACCAACGGCCACTTGCCACCAGCCTGCCGCTAGCCGCTGCTGTTGCCGGCCTGCCTCTCACTGTCACTGCTGCCAGCCTGCCACTAGCCGTCGCTGCTGCCAGCCTCCTGCTCACTGCCGCCAGTCTGCCGCTATCCGCCATTGCAGTCAGCCTGCCATTAGCCGCCACTACCGCCAGCCTGCTACTAGGTGCCTTTGCCATCAGCCTGCCACTAGCCGCTCGCTGCCACTGCCGCCAGTCTCCTGCTAGCCTCCACTACTGCCAGCGAGCCGCCTGCGATTACATGTGAAGGTTGGGAAACCTTCACATGACAAAAGAGCAGCCACGACAACTCCAAGGCCACCATGAATGTTGTCAGGAACTTTAGCTCCTTCAGTGTCAGCCTGGATTGTGTCAGATGCCACATTAGACCATGGATTTATTACCAGCTCGGCGAAACAAACCTATTGGATTGCTTTTTATATTCCTACAATGAACATTGCTTCTACTGTATCTGTTCACCGGGCTCTATTCTCTAGGTCCAGTCAGCACCTCTTATCAAGCTTCAAGATGACGCTATTTGTCTCTTGCAATCACCACGCTCAAGACATGAACAAGGCAATCACGAAAATTACGCAGTGGAATCAAGGCAAGCAAGATGGCTTCATTGGAAGTATAGGCATAAAGCCAAGTATCGTTTGGATCTAAAAAGTCCCCGTTTATCAGCTATCAGGCAGTACTGAGGTGCTCATCGTCGCACAATGTCGAAGCAAACTCTGCCTGGTGTGAAACCAGGTCAAGTCATCATCGTTCGAACACGGAGGATTTTGGGGAATCTGCTCCGTCCACTCCTCAGGGTGTGGCTGATGTGCCGCCTGTGCTGACGACGGAGGAATCTGTAACGGTGTCCGTTCCATCGGTCCCTGGTACCCCTTCGGAGCCTGCTAATACAGAGTCCACCGAGCCTCCTGTCCTGGGTTCGCCTGCTGCTGCCGGGATCGCCGCTGATGACCTGCCTCCTGTCTTGTTTCATGTGGGGGAGCAGGGTGCTGATGAGGAAGGGTGGATGGATAAAGAGGAGGAAAATGATGGTTATATCACTTATGACCCTGATGAGTGCTCTGATCCAATCCTGACAGCGGAGGTTGGTGCGTTGGTTCGTTTTCCGATTATGCTTCTGATTCTGTTTGAGTTTCCGAGCGAGCTATCTTGTACAAATGAGTCGGTCTGTTCCCTCCTGCTGCACTGGAGGCATCGACTCACCGTGGATGTAATGGAATCAACCAATTTTGAGGAGCTGCCTCCGGCTTACCTGTCGAAGCGCCGTTATGCTCGTCTGCAGATTATTTTTACTCATGAGAAGATGATGCTTTCATCGAGACGCATGCGCTGGAGCGTACTTGCTTGAAGGGGGAGATCCTCTCGCTGGGGTGGCAGTTCACGGAAGATGCAGGTTTCCTTAAGATGAGGGCAATGGATCCATCTCTTATTAAACATATGTTCAAGAGCATTCCCGTGACGATCACACCAGACATGTTGTGCAAGATGTTGGTGAAGAGTGGGAGGCCAGCGTACCCGAATGGTTACCATTTCCACCGGGTGATGGATCCGGTGTCAGGCTCAAAAACTGAAAAGATCAATGAGCTTCTGAAGTAGCACCCTGATGACTGCTACCACTGGCGTCACCTGATTGAAGATCCGTCGCAGAAGAGGAAGATGTTGAAGTTTTATCATCCGAAACTCACCTGCAAGCTATGTAGCGGCATGCATCGGAGAAGAACCATGACGTGTTTGCCGTCAAGCGCCAGGATAACATCAACAACAAGAAGCTGACCCTGGGGGGGGGGGGGGTCCATGAGATTAACGGTAACTGCTCACCTTCTTGTTTCTCGTGCACTTTGCTACTGCCGTTCCTCATTCGTAACTCTTCACTGCTACTTTGCACCTCGCTCTGCACACTGTCGCTGGTTGGTACCTGTCTTACTGACGTCTCCTCTCTGCACTCCGTATACAGTTGCCTCTCTCACACTGTCAGGTCCGGTGAAGTTGATCCTGAAGGATCCGGCCATTGCGCTGGCAAGCACAGATTTACCTGCCGACGGTGGAGATCTGCAGGTAGTTCAGGAAAATGGCACACAATTCCGTGTCATGGGGAAGAGCATTAATGGATAGGAACTTCATCCTATGGAGCTATCAGCTAATGTGCATGCCGCGAAAGGATGGTAGACTGGGGGTGCTGGAACCTAAATTGAGAGTGGATTGCATGAGTCTCCGAAGCGTTGTAGGCTGGCTGCAGGAGCGCAGCCCGACAAAGAGATGGCTGACGGAGGAGGCAGCGGCGCTCCTGCTCGGGCTGGCTTCTTTCTACTCGCACCCAGCGCTACTTAGGCATTGGGGGGGGGGGGGAGGGGGGAGCAGGAGATGGGAGTCGATTGCGGAGGTGTTCATATGCTCGAAGCAAGCGAATGTACCAATGGCGTGTTCGCGGTGGGACGTCGAACAGGAGCAGCTGACTTTCAACAGGCACATAGCGTATCGGGGTAACAGTCCTTACGGGAAGCAGAATGAGTCAGCGAAGCTGATGGGGGTGACGATCGGGAAACTACTGAATAAACATTGCGATGGCTTAAGGACTTTGAAAGATCACCGTACGCTGTTTGCGGAACTAGGGGGCGACCTGGTGGCGAAGATGACAGTTAAGGTGTACAAAGCAGCACCTGGGAGCTGGAGGCAGCTGGCTCTCACGGGCCTCACTGCAGAAGAATTCAGCTGCAGCCGAAGCAGCAAAAGGCCCCGGAGATGAGCTGGGGGAGACATATCAGCTGGAAGAGGGTCATTCAGAGGAGAGACTCGATAGCGGTCCCTGTTCAGGCTTCACTGTATGAACCTGCAAGTAGGATGCAGGTTGTCCTTTTTGGGGGACAAGGCGGTCTGCCCATACAGTAGAGAAGAGGAAACTTTGACTCACTGCCTTCTGTCCTGCCCGACTATCCAACCTGTCATCAGCGCGCTGCATATGTCACTTCGCATTATGAATCCGGCGAGGGTAGGAGTCTCGCTGGAGGACCTGTTGTTTGAGTCGGGCAGCACAAAGTCCGGTTTTCCGGAGACCACCATCATCGCCATCACGTTTCAGCACATCTGGAATGAACGGTGTGAAGCAGTTTTCGGGGGCAGCAGATTCAGGGTTTGTGGATGGCAGCTGCAGCTTTTCATCTTCATGCAAGGACGTACAATGGTGTCAGGTTTTGGGCACGTCGCAACAAAGGATATGCGCAAAGCAGGGTCGACTGGATCCACCTGGCAAAGGATGATTATACCGTTATCCGCCGCATTTGTGACATGAAGATCAAGCTGCTGACGTGGAACGAGGGTTTCCAGTCAATCTGGAACAGCTCGCCCTCCATGCACAAGCCGCCGTAAGCAAGAGATAGGGGGATCTGGTAGTAACCTACCTTAGGCCCCAGTTACAACCACAACTGTGAAGCCTAACATTGTATACCTTGTACTATGATGTAATGATAAATAAATAAATAAAAACCAGCGGCCCACCTGCGGTCAGCCGGCCGCCATTTCGCCACCAGCACCTTGCCCACTGCTAGCTGCCAATTACGAGCTCCCAGCCACCAGCAGCCATCTGCCAGCTGCTAAACCGCCGCTCCGGCCACAGCCGCCACTGCTGCTCCCACAGTTCATGCTCCCGCAGCCCCTAGCACCTCCCAATAGTCTCCTCCTCGTTCTTAGAGTTCCTCGCCGCCTCCCCTATCGACATGACGACATCGTCGGGATCTGTCCCTTGGCTGGACGCCGAAGGCCGAGTGGTCGACGTCGCTGTCTGGATTCTCGTTCTCTGCAGGAAGCTGGTGAGCCAGCACGTGGACTGCGAGCTCCTAGAGGCCCACATTACTGGTGAGCTCATCGAGGTATGCTAAGAGCTGCCTGCCCCGAGCCGTAGGAGCAGTAGCAGCCGCAGCAGCAGAAGCAATTGCAGCTACTGTACCGCGGTGGGGACCTGTGAGTGTTGGGTATGGTGGAGGCCTAGGAGGTTGGTGTTAGAATATACCATGCTATGCTAGTTGTGTATATTGTGTTTACATCCCTAGTTGGGTGTACACCTGTGTTGGGATGTCAATCCAACCCAATTGTGGTTGGAGCCCCCAAACACAAGGACCACAATTGTGGGGGCACCACAAGTGGGTTGGCTAAACCACTGGTGGTACACCACACTTGGACCACCTCCAACTGGTGGTCAACCATATTTGGAAGGATCCTCCCTCCCTTGTGATTGGTCCTAACCCCCCTTTCCCTTCCAACCTTCCCTTCCTAGCTCATCCCTCTCTTCCTATGTAACGCCTTTGCTTCATCAATAAACTGAACCTTTCTGTTTCTAACATGGTATAGAGCAATAATGGCTCACGCCAACTTTTAAATCCCGATCCTTCCCCACGCTTCCGCCCCGTCCCCTTCCGACGTGCACCTCATTGCCGTCCCCTGCATCGCCGCTGCTAGACTCCTAGCCGCCGCCTCTCAACTAGTTTTCTGTTGGGTGGATTTTCAAAAACCCCCAATGCGCCAAACGCCATAACTCGCTCGATAGTTGACAGAATTGAGTGATTTGACTTGCAAAAGAACGCTCTTGGTGTCAGCTAAAACGTCGTAAAATTTCGAACTGTTTCATCGCTTGGATTGTCAGATATCGCTTTCCGAAGTTTGCACACTTTCCTGGATGTGATCACGAACTGCTACTGAAATTTCTACCAAGTCCTATTTTCATCAGCTAACTGCCATCTTTCCCCATCTTTTGCCTCCTCACCTGCACCTGCTCATCGCCGCCTTACCACTGCTGCAGCCGTAGCAGCAGCAGCAGAAGCAGCAGCAGAAGCAGCAGCAGCACCAGAAGGAGCAGCAGACTAAGCAGCAGCAGCAGCAGCAGTAGCAGCAGCAGCAGCAGCAGCAGCAGCAGCTGAAGGAGCAGCAGCAGCAGCAGCAGCAACAGCGGCAGCAGCAGCAGTGGCAGCAGCAGCAGCGGCAGCAGCAGCCACAGCAACAGAAGCAGCAGCAGCAGCAGAAGGAGCAGCAGCAGCAGCAGCAGCAGCAGCAGCAGCAGCAGCAGCAGCAGCAGCAGTATCTACAGCCATCCCCATCCTCCCCTCCTCTTTGAGCCGCTGCGGGTCCACCCGCCGCCGCTCCCTCCCGGCCACCGCGGGTCCACCCGCCGTCGCCTTCCTCCCACTCCGTGTCACCAATGGCATCCTTTCCCCCTCCCGTCGACGTCTCGACCCTCGATCATCTCGTGCGCGCTGCCGACAACTCAGCAACCAACTGGTATTCCTTCGTCGGCAGCCTCCACCGCGTCCTCGGCAGTGCTTATGTCCTGCCGTTCCGCCTCCTGGACATCATGCTTGGTCTCCCAGAGGGCGACCTTGGGGACCCGCCGCCTCACCCTGGCGATCCCCCCCCTCTCATTCCCCATCCCGGCGAGGAACCTCCGCCCCCCATGGTACCCGTTGGCACCAGCACTCGCGCTGCCACCGCTGAAGTTGAGCAGCTCTTCCTTACTCAGCGTCGTGAGTTCCTCGTGCTCCATACTGATTACCTGATCGTGTTGGAGGAACACGAGCGGTCGGCAACCCTCCGCACCCAGCATGCCGCTACCGCCGCCGCTTATGCCGCTGACTCTGCGCGATTTGCTGAGCGTCGTCGCGCCTGGCTCGAGGCGGACAGCCGTGCTACTGGTGCCCTTCTCCTTGCCATCCCGTCTGCGCTCATGCGCAACTTCCAGGCACGTCGCATCGGCTCCCGCCAGATCTGGCTCGAGCTTGAGGCAATGTTCGAACGCACCGACTTCGATGGTGTCGGACCGCTCTTCAAGGAATACTTCAGCATCACGATCGAACATAGTGCTGGCGCCGTTGACTACACCAGCCGTCTCCTGGACCTTGCCTCCCGCCTTGAGGCTCGCCAGACTACTCTCCCCCCCAACCTTCAGATCTACCGTCTCCTCGAAGGCCTCTCCCCTCAATATGAAGTGCGCGTCATCGCTTCACTGAGGCTCAGCCCCGCGCCTCCCTTGACACTGTGGTCCAATGGATCATTGACGCTGAGGCCCGCCTTCTCTCAACCCCCCCCTCCGGCCTGAACTCCACCGAGTCCCAAAACCCCCAGCTTGCAGTCACACAGCCGCGTCGTGGCGGGCGCCCACGTGGCGGCCGCACCAACCCTCAGGGAGGGGGTAGAGGTGGCGGTTGTGGGGGCAGCGGAGCCGGCGGCGGTGGTGGCGGGGTCGAGGGTGGCAGCAGTGGTGGTGGTGGAGGCAGTAGTGGCTCATCTGGTAGCCGTGGTGGCCGCCCTGGCACTCTCCCCCCATGTTCCTATCTTCGCCGTTTTGGTCCCAGGGCGGGTGAGCGCTGCACCCAAACCAACCATCCCCCCGTGACCTGCTTCAAGGCGTATGATGACGCCTGGTTCGAGCGCGGCAACACTGGCACACCCTCACGCTGGTCTGCCATGGATCCCCGCCCCTCTCTCCAGGATGTCAAAACTCTTCCGTCTTTCCTCCCCTCTCATCTTCAGCTCTCCTCCTCCTCCTCCTCTGTCGCTGACCCCATAACTCCCCAGGAGCTGCAGCAGTTTCGCCGCTTCCAGCAGCTGCAGCTGCTGCAGGAGCAGCAGCAGTGGGGCTCTGGTGGTCAGGCTGCAGCCGCAGCTGCAGGAGCCGCAGCCGCAGCATCTGCATGGCAGCAGCAGCAGCTTGGCTTTGGCACCGCCGCCATGGCTGCCACAGCCACACCAGGTCCTCCTGGCTTTCCCCTCTGGGGCTCTCCTTCCCCTAGTGCTCCCGCCTCCCACTCGAGCTTTCTAGGCGAGCTCATGCGTTCTTCCCCTGCTTCCACTTCCATGTATCCCTCTGTTTTTAATGCCAGTGATTTCCAGTACCCCGTGTCTTCAGCTCCCTCCTCGCTCACGATTGACTTTGTTCTCGATACTGGTGCCACTGAAACTGCCCTCAAAGACGCCGGCACCCTCACCTCCCTCCCTTTCCCCACCAACGTTCATGGTGCTGATTCCAGCTTCTCCATCCCTTGCACTCATCTCTCCACCCTCCCCTGCCCCCCCTTCCCCTCTGGAGTGGTCACTGGTCTCCACATTCCCTCCCTTCGTCATAACCTGCTCTCCATTCGTGAACTCCAACAGGCTGGCATCACTACCCTCTTCCCCGCCTCTGCCACCTACTGTGACCTCCTCCACGGCCCCACTCACCGCCTCCTTCATCGCCTCCCACTTTGCCCTCGCTCTCGTTAGTACATCCTCCGCACACCCCGCCCCTCCTCATACCACGTGACCACTCGTGCAGGCACCTCCACTCTCCCCCCTCCCCTCCCTCTAGAGCCACCTTCCTCCAACTCCACCTCCTCCCCATGCTCTTGTCGCGCACTGTCCCACCCCGCTGTTCTCATCCACCACCGCCTTGGTCATATGAACTTTCCCACACTTCGTAAAGCCGTCTCCTCCCGCTTGCTTGACGGTCTTCCCCCCACTCTTCCTCCCCTCCCGTCCTCTTCCGCTCCCCCATCGCCACATGCATTCATGGAAAGCTCAAACAACAGCCTCACCTCAGTCATCCTTCCTTTGCTGCTGCCCCCCTTGACCTCGTCCACATGGACCTCTGGGGCCCTAACCCTTCCCCTTCCCGCCAAGGGCACCGGTACATGCTTGTCCTAGTCGACGACCACAGCAGGTACTCCTCGGTGTTCCTCCTCCACACGAAGGCCGAGGCCCCTGCTGTCATCGTTACCTGGGCCGAGCAGTGCCGAGTCCACTTTGGTCGCCCCATCCGCCGCCTCCATTCCGACGGCGGTGGTGAGTTTCTCAACCGCACCCTCTCCTCCTACTGCTCAACCCATGGCATCCTGCAGACTCATACCCTTCCCCACTCCCCTCAGCAGAACGGTGTTGCTGAGAGTCGCATTCGTGAGATCACCAAGACGGCCCGCTGCCTCCTCACTCATGCCTCCACGCCCCCTTCTCTTTGGGGCTATGCCCTTGTCCATGCTGCTCTCCTTACTAATCTTTACCCACATCCTCAACGCCAGTCTGTCACTCCCACTGAGCTCTGGGCTAGCACCAAGCCAGATGCTGCCATTCTCCGTATCTGGGGTTGCAAGGCATATGTCCTCATCCCCCCACCTGACCGCTCTCGGCAGGCAGGAAAGCTCGCCTCCAAGGCCATTGAGTGGGTCTACCTTGGCCACGCTCGCTCTGCCCCTGGTTACCTCTTCCTTCACCTGTCCTCAGGCCGCCTCCTACAGAGCCGTGACGTGGTGTTCGATGAGAGCATCCCGTTCTATCATTCTGTTCCGCCTTCCGACCCCCTTCCTCCTCTCTCCCGCCCCCTCACCTGGGCTGATGCTGTCATTCCCCCACTCCTTCCCCAGGCTCCCCTCCTTCCTCCAAATCCTGCTCCTCCCCCTCCTCCTTCCTCCAAATCCCACCAGCAGCAGCAGCAGCAGCAGCAGCAGCAGCAGCAGCAGCAACAGCAGCAGGAGGTGCAGCAGCGGATGGAGCAGCAGCAGCAGCAGCAGCAGCAACCGCAGGCAGTGCAGCAACAGCAGCCGCAGCAGGAGGTGCAGCAGCAGGAGGTGCAGCAGCGGATGGAGCAGCAGCAGCAGCAGCAGCAGCAACCGCAGGCAGTGCAGCAACAGCAGCCGCAGCAGGAGGTGCAGCAGCAGCACCAGCAGCAGCCACAGCAGCAGCAGCAGCAGCAGCAGCCACTGCAGCAACCTCATCGGCATCGCCGCACCACCTCTCCGTTCATCCTCCCACGCATCCACACTCGCTCTCACGGCCCACTCATAGGCCATCCATGGGGTTGACCAACACCACCCCCACCCTCCCTTCCCTTCATTGAGGACTCCCATGAGGAGCTCATTGGCGTTCAGCAACAAACACCTTCCCTTACGCCTCTCTACCCGGGCTTCCTTGGCCTCCTCATCCTTGGCATCGCTACCGCTCCCACCAGATTCACTCCGTCCAACTTCCTTGAGGCCATCACCTGCCCCGATGCTGCCAAGTGGATCCAGGCTATCTTTGCTGAATGCGAGGCCTTCATCCGCAATGCCTCATTCTTTAACATTGTCCCCTCTCCTGACGACGTCATTGTTGAAGGCCTGTGGGTGTTCCGAGTGAAGCAGCTGCCGGGTGAGGAGCCGGTCTACAAGGCCCGGTATTGTGCCAAGGGCTTCACCCAAACCCATGGCATCGACTACTGGGAGACATTCTCTCCCACTGCCAAGCTCCCAACTCTCCGTGCCATCCTCGACTATGCTGTTCGCATTGGCATGGAGATTGCCTCGATGGAGGTCTCCAACGCCTTCCTGCAAGGCGAGCTCCAGGAGCGGGTCCTCTTGCGGCGGCCTCCAGGCTTTCATGCAGCCTTCCCTGCCAACACAGTCTGGGAGCTGCGCCGCCCGGTTTATGGCCTCAAGCAGGCTCCTCGCGAGTGGCAAAACAAGCTGGCCGCCACTCTGCAATCCTTGGGGTTCCATGCCTCTCAGTCTGATGCCAGCCTTTTCCTTCGCTCCTCTCCCACCCGCTTCTTCATCCTGGTGTATGTCGACGACATGATCCTGTTCGGTGACGATGCTGCCGCCATGCAGCAAGTGAAGGACGCCCTGCATGCGCGCCTCAAGTGCAAGGACCTGGGTGAGCTCAAGCACTATCTGGGCATGACCATCACCCAGGACCGCACATCGCGCACCATTACCCTCTCTCAGTCCTTCTTCGTCGACCAAGTCTTGCAGCGGTTCGACATGGCGCAGGCCAAGCCGGTTACCACTCCCCTGCAGACCGACCACCAGCTTGCCCCTCCTCCTGCTCCCTCCTCCTCTGACCATCCTTACGCTGAGCTCGTCGGCTCGCTGATGTACGCTATGAAGTGCACCCGCCCCGACCTTGCCTACCCCATCAGTGTTCTTGCTCGATTCGTCGGTACCGGTCGCCACACTGATGAGCACTGGGCTGCAGCGAAGCGGGTCCTCCGCTACCTCCGTGGTACCAAGGACTATGTCCTCACCCTCGGAGGCTCTTCTCCTCCCCTCCTCTCTGGCTTCAGTGACTCCTCCTGGGCTGACTCCCAGCCGGATCGCCACTCCTCTCAAGGCTACGGCTTCACCCTTGGCAGCGGCCTCATCAGCTGGCGCTCCACTCGCTCCTCCTCCATCGCCCTCTCATCCTGCGAGGCTGAGCTCTATGCTTGCACCATGGCCGCTCAGGAGGCTCGCTGGCTCACCTTCCTCCTTGCTGAGATCGGTGCTCCTCAGCGCTGTCCCACTCTCTGGTGCGACAACGCCAGCACCATCCATCTCACAAAGGACCCTGTCTTCCATGGCCGCTCCAAGCACATTGAACTCCGCTACTTCTTCGTTCGAGAGTTGGTCCAGCAAGGTCACTTGGTGGTCCGCAAGATCGCTGCAGAGGCCAACTTGGCCGACATCTTCACCAAGGCCCTCCCGAAGACCGCGCACTCTGCCCTCCTCCGCCTTCTCGGCCTTGGGCCCCGCCCCCCTTCCTGATTCTGGGGTTGTACCCTATATATACACTAGCTTTGCATGCTATGGGTTTGTGTTAGAATATACCATGCTATGCTAGTTGTGTATATTGTGTTTACATCCCTAGTTGGGTGTACACCTGTGTTGGGGTGTCAATCCAACCCAATTGTGGTTGGAGCCCCCAAACACAAGGACCACAATTGTGGGGGCACCACAAGTGGGTTGGCTAAACCACTGGTGGTACACCACACTTGGACCACCTCCAACTGGTGGTCAACCACATTTGGAAGGATCCTCCCTCCCTTGTGATTGGTCCTAACCCCCCTTTCTTCCTCCCCTCCCGTCCTCTTCCGCTCCCCCATGCGCCACATGCATTCATGGAAAGCTCAAACAACAGCCTCACCTCAGTCATCCTTCCTTTGCTGCTGCCCCCCTTGACCTCGTCCACATGGACCTCTGGGGCCCTAACCCTTCCCCTTCCCGCCAAGGGCACCGGTACATGCTTGTCCTAGTCGACAGGGTTGACTAACAGGGTGGACTTCTTTCAGGGTGGACTTCTTTCAGACCTTCGTCCCGACCCCGAAGATGATTACTCTTCGGACGCTGCTACACGTAGTAGCACAGCATGACTATGAGCTCCCTCGATTTCTCCACTGCTTTTCTTCAGGGCAGCCTACACGAGCACATCTACTTGCGCCGTCCTCAGTTTTCTGGCCATTTACCCTGATTCAGGGTTGTTTTTTTATGGATCTTTTTCAGAGTAACAAAATTTGACTAGAATAGGGGGAACAGGGTTAGTTTGTACTAGTGTATTGTACGCTCTAAGAGCATGCAACTATCTAGCCTAAAATAACATATGCATATAAGTTTGGACAAGGGGCAGTGCTTTGCAAGAGACACATGGCTCGGGGTGGCACTACTAGTCCAACCTCTGAGGCAAGGGTCAGAGGACCAGTCAGAAGAGCACAAACTAGACAAGAGTAAACCGGGGCGGCACTACTAGTCCGGCCACTGGAACAGAAGCCACAAAGCAAGTCAGGAGAATATATAAAAGAGTAGTACACAATCAAGGTCCTAACAAGGAGCTACTGGAACCAGACTAGGGCTGATGTTTCAAAAAAACCCACTCTGATTTTGGCCCCAAATTGTTTTCCCAAGTCTGAGCTGCCAGGTTTCTGGTTTCAGGTAATATGATTTTGCAGGATCCAGTGAGACTCAAGTCTGATATTCTCAGGGTTCGCAGGCATCAATCAGAGTCTAACGCACATCACCATATACTCGCCAGCGTTACACAACAGTTTCGCCATTAACCAACACCTACACCAGTTTCCTAGCCTATCTAGAACTCTAGCACATCCACATAGACTACATCCTCCGCCTCATCATCCGACAGGAAGGGGTTGTCTTCTATAGCTGCTACACCTCCACCATCCCTCTCCCCCTCCTCCTCCTCCTCCTCCTCCTCCTCCTCCTCCTCCTCCTCCTCCTCCTCCTCCTCCTCCTCCTCCTCCTCCTCCTCCTCCTCCTCCTCCTCCTCCTCCTCCTCCTCATCTCAATCCTCTCCTATATAGTCTGGCACCGGAGGTTCGTGCTCAACCTCTTCCAGCAGCGCCTTGCCCTTGCGCTTCCTCTCTTGTGATGCGAACACCACCGATTTTGCTGGTGTTCTCTCCTTTGCGTGCCCCTCCCGCACCTGCCCGGCCTTTCGTGAGCCTCGCCGGCCCCTCGTGCGCCTCGGCTCCTCGAGCGCCCACTGGCCCTCCCATGCCACTGAGCCCCCATCACTCCGCCGGCCCTTTGCGAAACTAAGGGACTAGCGAGAGACTAAGGGAGCAGCGAGAGACTAAGGGAGCAGCGAGAGACAATGGGAGCAGAGAGAGACTACGGGAGCAGCGAGAGACTACGGGAGCAGCGAGAGATTATGGGAGCAGCGAGAGACTACGGGAGCAGCGAGTGACTAACAAGGTTGGGAGGAACGAGCGATAGACAAAGGCAGGGAACAGAGACACTGGGGAAACCCAACAAACCATACAAACAATGTAGCACACAAAACACATGCAACGAAATGATGCGAACAGACGACAGGATGACGTGCAAACGAATATGCACCAACACACTCCCCCTCAGACTGTCGGCTTGTTTCGCCGTCTCTAGTTCAAAGACATTCCCGCCATCCTCGCACAGCGCCAGTGTGGCTCTTCAGCTAGCCGCTTGGTAAGGAAGTCGGCTGGCTGTTGCTGAGTTTTCACGTAGATTGGATCCAGTGTCCCAAGCTTCACCTCCTTCCGCAGCCAATGCCACTTGATGCTCATGTGCTTGTTCAACCCATGAAGAACTGCATTGCGTGCCATGGCAATGGCTCCCTTGCTGTCACTGAACAGAGGTGTCGCACAAGTCTGTTCATGGCTCATCTCCTTCAAGAGCCTCCTTAGCCAAATGATTTCTTTTGCCGCATGAAACATTGCCATGTACTCAGATTCCACTGAAGATAGTGCCGTTTCAGACTGCTTCTTGGACCTCCAACTTACAGGCCCACCTCCCACCATGCAGATGTATCCACCAACTGATGATGAATCCTCATGCTCAGAAGCCCATGTGGCATCAGCAAAACAGGAAAGGAACACCTTTCCTTCTCCGAGCTGCTCCTCCTTCTCTTGAAGGACTTCAACTCCTTTTTGCCTGAGTTGAGCAGAGGCTGAATACTGTACTCCCACTGTAGGGTATGACTTGAGGTAGTGCACCACTCTCTCCGCTGCACCACACTGCTCTTCTGTTGGATTTTGCACTACTCGAGCCAGCTGTCCCACAGCAAAGCTGATGTCAGGCCGAGTATGCACAGCAGCGTAGAGTAGGCTCCCGACCATGGATTGGAATTGCCTCTGGTCTTCACTCTCAACTCCTTCTCCTTCAGCTGCCTTTATGAGTTTGAACTCGGAAGGCAAAGGTGTAACCACTTCCCGTTCTTCTTGCAGAGAGTACTTCTCAGCCAAGGTGTTGATGTACTGTCCCTGATGCAGCTTGAGCCAGCCACGTTCAGTATCCCGCTCAATGTGCATTCCCAAGTAGTACCTTGCCTCTCCAAGTGACTTGCACTTGAACTGCTCTGTGAGCTTCTGCTGCACCCCATCGATCTCCTTGTCACTGCTGCTGAAGAGCAGGATGTCATCCACGTACACCAGCAGAAGCACAAGCGACTCCCCCTCGCCCATCAGGAATAGGCTCTCGTCGCATGCACTCGCACGGAATCCAATCCCTTCCAGTGCACTGGCCAGCCTGTTGTACCAGCATCTCGGGGCCTGCTTCAAGCCATAGATGGCCTTGTTAAGTTTGCAGACACGACCGGTTCCATCCTCATAGCCAGGTGGTTGAACCATGTACACCTCCTCTTCCACAATGCCGTACAGAAAAGCGGTTACGATGTCCATCTGCTTCACCTTCCATTTACGCACAGCAGCTACCGCCAGCAGCACACGTAGCGTTGGAGACTTAGCAGTTGGGGCAAACACTTCTTTGTAATCTTCTTTCTCTTTCTGCTGAAACCCTTTTGCCACCAGCCTGCTCTTGTAAACTGATGGCTCTCCATTCTCATCCGTCTTGATTTTTGCCAGCCACTTGCACTGTATTGCCTTCTTCCCATTTGGCAAGTACACCAGGTCCCATGTGTGATTTGTTGGTGCATATTCGTTTGCACGTCATCCTGTCGTCTGTTCGCATCATTTCGTTGCATGTGTTTTGTGTGCTACATTGTTTATATGGTTTGTTGGGTTTGCATGTCTTTGCATGTTCATCTTGTGCTTGTGCAGATGTGCTTGGATTGTGCATGACATCGAGCACATTCCAACGAGCCAAGAATTGTTGGAATCGGAGCACATATGAAGAAGTTACGAAGAAATGTTTGATGGATTTGTTACAACTCATTGGAAGTCCTTGGCAGCTGCTACACCAAAGTTGGAGAGCCCTAAAACGAGGAGGGACCAGCATGTGTGGGACTTTTGTCCCCACCTTGCAGCTGCAGCACTTGGGGTTTGGAGACCAACCTGGCACAGTGTGAATTTTGTCTTGCCAGGCTGGCTGAACCTGAGGATGGGGAGTCAAGACTTTGACTCTTGTCATGTTCTTGACCAAGGGCCTCCAGGGTCCTTCCCTTTCATCCTTCCCTTCCCACCCCACCTTTCAACTATGCTTCAATGCCTTTTCCATCATGTCTCTAAACTTGTAAGCTTCTATCATAGTGACTCTGAGGACTGTCAATTTCTCCTAGGGCAGATTACCCCGCAGTTCGCCAAACGCCATAGCTCGCTCGTTCAGCTACGGAATCGAATGATTCAACTTTCAGTGGAAAGCTGACGCTGCAAGCTACAACATGTCTGATTTTCAAATCGTTTCACCGATTGGAGTTTTAGATATAGCTTTTCGAAGGTCGCGAGTTTTCTGGGCGTCATAACGAAGTGCTGCAGAAATTTCCAAGGAGCCATTGAATCATCTGCTTATAGCCTTCTCTAAGCAACAAGTGGTATCAGAGCCCATTGTCACGCATTTGGGACCTAAAATACGATGGGAGATAAGGAGGACTCTGGTGGAGGTGATACTTCAGTCCAAGGAGGCAGCTCAACCCAAGATTCTGGCATTGCAGCGCAAAGGGGAGCGCATACAAGCCAGGGGTCACTGCTTAAGGAGGTGCTGAAGAGCTTCACCATTGAGAAGTTCTCTGGAGATGGCTATGACGATTGGGCATGGAAGATGCAGCTCTACTTTTGACAAATTGGCCTCTTGAAGCTCATGATTGGAACGGAGCCAAGGCCAAAGGAAATGGCAGAGCAAGCGGACTGGGATGAACGTTCATCTGCTGGGTATTATCTACTGTCACAAAGCTTGGAGCTGAACCAGAGGCATCACATCATGCATCTGCTACCGGAAATTGATTGTGGGCCCAAGGCATGGGCAGTGCTCAAGGACCTGCACGCTCTGACATCGGTTGCCGCTTCTCTCATGCTGGATCGGGAGCTGTCCATGCTGCGGTTGAGCGAGAATGAACCTGTGCAGCCCGTACTGGACAAGATGAGGGAACTCTACGCGAAATTGGTGATTGCAGGCATCACGTACCCTGAGCAGACTAAGTGTCTCAAGATGCTCAGCCTGCTGCCCGAGTCTTGGCTGCAATTTATAAGCGGACTCAGCTTGCCACAAAACCAAAGTCAATGGACATTGGAGTGGATTCGCACCAAGATTCTGGAAGAACATTTTCGTCGCTACACACTGCGCGGAGGTGATGACAGCACCAGCGGCTATGCCATGCAAGGGACATGGAGGGATCGAGGGCGTGGCAATCGCGGTCGCTCTTACTACAGCCAAGGTGGTCGTGGGACTTGGTACCAGCGGGGGCGTGGTGGCGCTGGTGCAAGAGGAAGAGGTGGTCACTCCAACAATGACAACAGTGAACCACGCTTGAGGGGAGAGTGCTGGTATTGCAAGGAAGAAGGGCATCCATGGTTTCGCTGCTCTACCAAGCCCGACTGGTGGACCCCTTGGAACCAATCGCAAAAGGGGAATGGAGGAAAGCAACCACATGGAGGTGCCAACATGGTAGCTGATCCTGCTGAAGAAACCTCCAAGGATGAGAGAGGAATGGGAAATGAGGAGAGGAATGCTGGACAGTTCTACCATGTGTGTGACAAAGATGACAGTGGCACAGCTGTTGCAAGGGCTGGAGAGGAATTGCACCCGCTTGACATGTGGGTCATGGACTCTGGTGCTGCATGGACAATGACACCACGCAAGGATTTGCTGGATGCTGTGCGAGCGCCTCCAATCTCTGAAGTGCGCTCAGCATCCGGACATGCAGTGAAGGTCGCTGGAGTTGGTCGAGCTGCATTCAGAGCACCTGATGGTGGACTGGTTGTGCTGAAGGATGTGTTACTCGTACCGGGGCTGAAGGCCAATCTGATATCGCTGCGCAAGCTAGGCCAGGCCGGAGTCAGCACCACCACCAATGGATCCAAAACATTCAAGGGGCTGCGAGGAGATCGTGTGTTATGGGATTTACACGAAAGCAGGGATGTCTTCAGATCCATGTGGCAGATCCCTGCGCTGATATGGGAATCAACAAAGAAGGAGCTGGGAGTAGTAAAGGCGGTATCTGGAGTCCAGGGGGAGTGCAATGCAGTTAGTGCTGCACGAGTGATGGTTTCTGCAAGGTCGGGGGAGACTGATTGGGAAACCGCACACAGGCGTCTAGGGCATGTGGCTATGCCATTGCTGCAGCAACTGCATAAGGAAGAAGCAGTAAAGGGGCTGAAGCTTTCTGGGCAACCAAATGATACCAAGTGCGAGACGTGTCTGCTGAGCAAGTTCACACGGTTCCCCTTTCACGGCGTAGCTGGGAAAAGCAAGGAAGCACTGGAACTGGTGCACATGGACCTGGTAGGACCTTTTCCAGTTCGAGGAAGTAAGGGGGAAAGGTACTTCCTAACAATAGTTGATGACTGGAGCCGGCTGATGTGGGCATACCCGTTGAAGCAGAAGGATCATGCTGCCTCAACAATACGAGATGACTGGCTGCCGTTCGTCGAGCGACAATCTGGGCACCCATGCAAGAGCATCAGAACCGACCGAGGTGGAGAGTTTCTAGGAGGAGATCTGACTGCGTGGCTCAAGAAACAAGGCATTGAGCATCAGCTAACGACGTCCTATACCCCTCAGTCAAATGGCATTGCTGAGAGGGCTAATAGGACCATCCTGGAAACTGCACGAGCGCTGCTGATCGAATCAGGGCTGGGGAACTCCATGTGGCCTCATGCGGTGAGGCATGCTACAGTGGCAAGGAACCGCGTACTCACAAAGGTAGCTGATGATATGTGGGTGCCGCTGGAGAGGTGGCTTGGAAAGAAGCCTCCAGTGGACATGCTTAGAGTGTTCGGATGCATGGCAGTGGCGCATGTCCCTAAACCGTACAGGACAAAGCTTGGAGCATCTGCACTGTGGTGTGTGCACCTTGGGCTTGCGGCAGAGAGCAAGGGGTGGCTACTCTGGGAGCAAAGAATGTGCTGTTTGACAGTCGGGATGTCAAATTTGTGGAGTACATCATGTATGGCAAGTGGGAGAAGCAGCCGGAGGCAAGGGTCCACCAGCAGCTGGAAGAGATCACTATGCACTTCGATTTGTCCGAACCTGAGGACAGCGAAGTCACTGCGCCAACGGCAAGCGGTACTGATGAAGGAAGCAATGAGGATATTGCAGCTGATGCTGAAGTCAAGGATCCGGAGCAGCAGCAGCAAGAGGCTTCCAAAACACCAAGTCTGCCAAAGCGAATGAAACAGTTTGGTGGGGGGACAAAGGATTGGGTGAAGGTGAAAGAATGGGTAAATCCAACCATCTACCCTGCACGTACCAGAATGGCAACAAGAAAGCTGCTGAGCTCTACAAGTGGAGGAGCCACAACTGAGCAGCAGGAACAGGCTCAAGGCAAAGATGCAGTGCTGTTCTTGGGTGATGACCAAGAGTCAGATGACGAGGAGCCTGCATACTGCTTTTATGTACCAATACAACCTCCGAGCATGGATCATGCGCTAGCCGGGCCTCAACGGGGGAAGTGGCTCGTTTCAAGAGATGCAGAGTACAACAGCCAGATGGAGAATCACACATGGAACCTGGTGTACTTGCCAAATGGGAAGAAGGCAATACAGTGCAAGTGGCTGGCAAAAATCAAGACGGATGAGAAAGGAGAGCCATCAATTTACAAGAGCAGGCTGGTGGCAAAGGGGTTTCAGCAGAAAGAGAAAGAAGATTACAAAGAAGTGTTTGCCCCAACTGCTAAGTCTCCAACGCTACGTGTGCTGCTGGCGGTAGCTGCTGTGTGTAAATGGAAGGTGAAGCAGATGGACATCGTAACCGCTTTTCTGTACGGCATTGTGGAAGAGGAGGTGTACATGGTTCAACCACCTGGCTATGAGGATGGAACCGGTCGTGTCTGCAAACTTAACAAGGCCATCTATGGCTTGAAGCAGGCCCCGAGATGCTGGTACAACAGGCTGGCCAGTGCACTGGAAGGGATTGGATTCCGTGCGAGTGCATGCGACGAGAGCCTATTCCTGATGAGCGAGGGGGAGTCGCTTGTGCTTCTGCTGGTGTACGTGGATGACATCCTGCTCTTCAGCAGCAGTGACAAGGAGATCGATGGGGTGCAGCAGAAGCTCACAGAGCAGTTCAAGTGCAAGTCACTTGGAGAGGCAAGGTACTACCTGGGAATGCACATTGAGCGGGATACTGAACGTGGCTGGCTCAAACTGCATCAGGGACAGTACATCAACACCTTGGCTGAGAAGTACTCTCTGCAAGAAGAACGGGAAGTGGTTACACCTTTGCCTTCCGAGTTCAAACTCATAAAGGCAGCTGAAGGAGAAGGAGTTGAGAGTGAAGACCAGAGGCAATTCCAATCCATGGTCAGGAGCCTACTCTACGCTGCTGTGCATACTCGGCCTGACATCAGCTTTGCTGTGGGACAGCTGGCTCGAGTAGTGCAAAATCCAACACAAGATCAGTGTGGTGCAGCGGAGAGAGTGGTGCGCTACCTCAAGTCATACCCTACAGTGGGAGTACAGTATTCAGCCTCTGCTCAACTCCGTCAGAAAGGAGTTGAAGTTCTCAAAGAGAAGGGGGAGCAGCTCGGAGAAGGAAAGGTGTTCCTTTCCTGTTTTGCTGATGCCACATGGGCTTCTGAGCATGAGGATTCATCATCAGTTGGTGGATACATCTGCATGGTGGGAGGTGGGCCTGTAAGTTGGAGGTCCAAGAAGCAGTCTGAGACGGCACTATCGTCAGTGGAATCTGAGTACATGGCGATGTTTCATGCAGCAAAAGAAATCATTTGGCTAAGGAGGCTCTTGAAGGAGATCGGCCATGAACAGACTTGTGCGACACCTCTGTTCAGTGACAGCAAGGGAGCCATTGCCATGGCACGCAATGCAGTTCTTCATGGGTTGAACAAGCACATGAGCATCAAGTGGCATTGGCTGCGGAAGGAGGTGAAGCTTGGGACACTGGATCCGATCTACGTGAAAACTCAGCAACAGCCAGCCGACTTCCTTACCAAGCGGCTAGCTGAAGAGCCACACTGGCGCTGTGCGAGAATGGCGGGAATGTCCTTGAACTAAAGACGGCGAAACAAGCCGACAGTCTGAGGGGGAGTGTGTTGGTGCATATTCGTTTGCACGTCATCCTGTCGTCTGTTCGCATCATTTCGTTGCATGTGTTTTGTGTGCTACGTTGTTTATATGGTTTGTTGGGTTTGCATGTCTTTGCATTCTCATCTTGTGCTTGTGCAGATGTGCTTGGATTGTGCATAACATCGAGCACATTCCAACGAGCCAAGAATTGTTGGAATCGGAGCACATATGAAGAAGTTACGAAGAAATGTTTGATGGATTTGTTACAACTCATTGGAAGTCCTTGGCAGCTGCTACACCAAAGTTGGAGAGCCCTAAAACGAGGAGGGACCAGCATGTGTGGGACTTTTGTCCCCACCTTGCAGCTGCAGCATTTGGGGTTTGGAGACCAACCTGGCACAGTGTGAATTTTGTCTTGCCAGGCTGGCTGAACCTGAGGATGGGGAGTCAAGACTTTGACTCTTGTCATGTTCTTGACCAAGGGCCTCCAGGGTCCTTCCCTTTCATCCTTCCCTTCCCACCCCACCTTTCAACTATGCTTCAATGCCTTTTCCATCATGTCTCTAAACTTGTAAGCTTCTATCATAGTGACTCTGAGGACTGTCAATTTCTCCTAGGGCAGATTACCCCGCAGTTCGCCAAACGCCATAGCTCACTCGATAAGCTACGGAATCGAGTGATTCAACTTTCAGTGGAAAGCTGACGCTGCAAGCTACAACATATCCGATTTTCAGATCGTTTCATCGATTGGAGTTTTGGATATAGCTTTTCGAAGGTCGCAAGTTTTCTGGGCGTCATAACGAAGTGCTGCAGAAATTTCCAAGGAGCCATTGAATCATCTGCTTATAGCTTCTCTAACCAACAAGTGGTATCAGAGCCCATTATCACGCATTTGGGACCTAAAATACGATGGGAGATAAGGAGGACTCTGGTGGAGGTGATACTTCAGTCCAAGGAGGCAGCTCAACCCAAGATTCTGGCATTGCAGCGCAAAGGGGAGCGCGTACAAGCCAGGGGTCACTGCTTAAGGAGGTGCTGAAGAACTTCACCATTGAGAAGTTCTCTGGAGATGGCTATGATGATTGGGCATGGAAGATGCAGCTCTACTTTCGACAAATTGGCCTCTTGAAGCTCATGATTGGAACGGAGCCAAGGCCAAAGGAAATGGCAGAGCAAGCGGACTGGGATGAACGTTCATCTGCTGGGTATTATCTACTGTCACAAAGCTTGGAGCTGAACCAGAGGCATCACATCATGCATCTGCTACCGGAAATGATTGTGGGCCCAAGGCATGGGCAGTGCTCAAGGACCTGCACGCTCCGACATCGGTTGCCGCTTCTCTCATGCTGGATCGGGAGCTGTCCATGCTGCGGTTGAGCGAGAATGAACCTGTGCAGCCCGTACTGGACAAGATGAGGGAACTCTACGCGAAATTGGCGATTGCAGGCATCACGTACCCGAGCAGACAAGTGTCTCAAGATGCTCAGCCTGCTGCCCGAGTCTTGGCTGCAATTTATAAGCGGACTCAGCTTGCCACAAAACCAAAGTCAATGGACATTGGAGTGGATTCGCACCAAGATTCTGGAAGAAGATTTTCGTCGCTATACACTGCGCGGAGGTGATGACAGCACCAGCGGCTATGCCATGCAAGGGACATGGAGGGATCGAGGGCGTGGCAATCGCGGTCGCTCTTACTACAACCAAGGTGGTCGCGGGACTTGGAACCAGCGGGGCGTGGTGGCGCTGGTGCAAGAGGAAGAGGTGGTCACTCCAACAATGACAACAGTGAACCACGCTTGAGGGGAGAGTGCTGGTATTGCAAGGAAGAAGGGCATCCATGGTTTCGCTGCCTACCAAGCCCGACTGGTGGACCCCTTGGAACCAATCGCAAAGGGGAATGGAGGAAAGCAACCACATGGAGGTGCCAACATGGTAGCTGATCCTGCTGAAGAAACCTCCAAGGATGACAGAGGAATGGGAAATGAGGAGAGGAATGCTGGACAGTTCTACCATGTGTGTGACAAAGATGACAGTGGCACAGCTGTTGCAAGGGCTGGAGAGGAATTGCACCCGCTTGACATGTGGGTCATGGACTCTGGTGCTGCATGGACAATGACACCACGCAAGGACTTGCTGGATGCTGTGCGAGCGCCTCCAATCTGAAGTGCGCTCAGCATCCGGACATGCAGTGAAGGTCGCTGGAGTTGGTCGAGCTGCATTCAGAGCACCTGATGGTGGACTGGTTGTGCTGAAGGACGTGTTACTCGTACCGGGGCTGAAGGCCAATCTGATATCGCTGCGCAAGCTAGGCCAGGCCGGAGTCAGCACCACCACCAATGGATCCAAAACATTCAAGGGGCTGCGAGGAGATCGTGTGTTATGGGATTTACACGAAAGCAGAGATGTCTTCAGATCCATGTGGCAGATCCCTGCACTGATATGGGAATCAACAAAGAAGGAGTTGGGAGAAGTAAAGGCGGGATCTGGAGTCCAGGGGGAGTGTAATGCAGTTAGTGCTGCAGGAGTGACGGTTTCTGCAAGGTCGGGGGAGACTGATTGGGAAACCGCACACAGGCGTCTAGGGCATGTGGCTATGCCATTGCTGCAGCAACTGCATAAGGAAGAAGCAGTAAAGGGGCTGAAGCTTTCTGGGCAACCAAATGATACCAAGTGCGAGACGTGTCTGCTGAGCAAGTTCACACGGTTCCCCTTTCACGGCGTAGCTGGGAAAAGCAAGGCAGCACTGGAACTGGTGCACATGGACCTGTAGGACCTTTTCCAGTTCAGGAAGTAAGGGGGAAAGGTACTTCCTGACAATAGTTGATGACTGGAGTCGGCTGATGTGGGCATACCCGTTGAAGCAGAAGGATCATGCTGCCTCAACAATACGAGATGACTGGCTGCCGTTCGTCGAGCGACAATCTGGGCACCCATGCAAGAGCATCAGAACCGACCGAGGTGGAGAGTTTCTAGGAGGAGATCTGACTGCGTGGCTCAAGAAACAAGGCATTGAGCATCAGCTAACGACGTCCTATACCCCTCAGTCAAATGGCGTTGCTGAGAGGGCTAATAGGACCATCCTGGAAACTGCGCGAGCGCTGCTGATCGAATCAGGGCTGGGGAACTCCATGTGGCCTCATGCGGTGAGGCATGCTACAGTGGCAAGGAACCGCGTACTCACAAAGGTGGCTGATGATATGTGGGTGCCGCTGGAGAGGTGGCTTGGAAAGAAGCCTCCAGTGGACATGCTTCGAGTGTTCGGATGCATGGCAGTGGCGCATGTCCCTAAACCGTACAGGACAAAGCTTGGAGCATCTGCACTTGGTGTGTGCACCTTGGGCTTGCGGCAGAGAGCAAGGGGTGGCTACTCTGGGAGCCCTCAAAGAATGTGCTGTTTGACGTCGGGATGTCAAATTTGTGGAGAACATCATGTATGGCAAGTGGGAGAAGCAGCCGGAGGCAAGGGTCACCCAGCAGCTGGAAGAGATCACTATGCACTTCGATCTGTCCGAACCTAGGACAGCGAAGTCACTGCGCCAACGGCAAGCGGTACTGATGAAGGAAGCAATGAGGATATTGCAGCTGATGCTGAAGTCAAGGATCCGGAGCAGCAGCAGCAAGAGGCTTCCAAAACACCAAGTCTGCCAAAGCGAAGGAAACAGATTGGTGGGGGGACAAAGGATTGGGTGAAGGTGAAAGAATGGGTAAATCCAACCATCTACCCTGCACGTACCAGAATGGCAACGAGAAAGCTGCTTGAGCTCTACAAGTGGAGGAGCGCCACAACTGAGCAGCCAGGAACAGGCTCAAGCGAAGATGCAGTGCTGTTCTTGGGTGATGACCAAGAGTCAGATGACGAGGAGCCTGCATACTGCTTTTACGCACCAATACAACCTCCGAGCATGGATCATGCGCTAGCCGGGCCTCAACGGGGGAAGTGGCTCGTTTCAAAGAGATGCAGAGTACAACAGCCAGATGGAGAATCACACCAATGGGACCTGGTGTACTTGCCAAATGGGAAGAAGGCAATACAGTGCAAGTGGCTGGCAAAATCAAGACGGATGAGAAAGGAGAGCCATCAGTTTACAAGAGCAGGCTGGTGGCAAAGGGGTTTCAGCAGAAAGAGAAGGAAGATTACAAAGAAGTGTTTGCCCCAACTGCTAAGTCTCCAACGCTACGTGTGCTGCTGGCGGTAGCTGCTGTGCGCAATGGAAGGTGAAGCAGATGGACATCGTAACCGCTTTTCTGTACTGGCATTGTGGAAGAGGAGGTGTACATGGTTCAACCACCTGGCTATGAGGATGGAACCGGTCGTGTCTGCAAACTTAAACAAGGCCATCTATGGCTTGAAGCAGGCCCCGAGATGCTGGTACAACAGGCTGGCCAGTGCACTGGAAGGGATTGGATTCCGTGCGAGTGCATGCGACGAGAGCCTATTCCTGATGGCGAGGGGGAGTCGCTTGTGCTTCTGCTGGTGTACGTGGATGACATCCTGCTCTTCAGCAGCAGTGACAAGGAGATCGATGGGTGCAGCGGAAGCTCACAGAGCAGTTCAAGTGCAAGTCACTTGGAGAGGCAAGGTACTACCTGGGAATGCACATTGAGCGGGATACTGAACGTGGCTGGCTCAAACTGCATCAGGGACAGTACATCAACACCTTGGCTGAGAAGTACTCTCTGCAGGAAGAACGGGAAGTGGTCACACCTTTGCCTTCCGAGTTCAAACTCATAAAGGCAGCTGAAGGAGAAGGAGTTGAGAGTGAAGACCAGAGGCAATTCCAATCCATGGTCGGGAGCCTACTCTACGCTGCTGTGCATACTCGGCCTGACATCAGCTTTGCTGTGGGACAGCTGGCTCGAGTAGTGCAAAATCCAACAGAAGAGCAGTGTGGTGCAGCGGAGAGAGTGGTGCGCTACCTCAAGTCATACCCTACAGTGGGAGTACAGTATTCAGCCTCTGCTCAACTCAGTCAAAAAGGAGTTGAAGTCCTCAAAGAGAAGGGGGAGCAGCTCGGAGAAGGAAAGGTGTTCCTTTCCTGTTTTGCTGATGCCACGTGGGCTTCTGAGCATGAGGATTCATCATCAGTTGGTGGATACATCTGCATGGTGGGAGGTGGGCCTGTAAGTTGGAGGTCCAAGAAGCAGTCTGAGACGGCACTATCTTCAGTGGAATCTGAGTACATGGCGATGTTTCATGCGGCAAAAGAAATCATCTGGCTAAGGAGGCTCTTGAAGGAGATCGGCCATGAACAGACTTGTGCGACACCTCTGTTCAGTGACAGCAAGGGAGCCATTGCCATGGCACGCAATGCAGTTCTTCATGGGTTGAACAAGCACATGAGGATCAAGTGGCATTGGCTGCGGAAGGAGGTGAAGCTTGGGACACTGGATCCGATCTACGTGAAAACTCAGCAACAGCCAGCCGACTTCCTTACCAAGCGGCTAGCTGAAGAGCCACACTGGCGCTGTGCGAGGATGGCGGGAATGTCCTTGAACTAGAGACGGCGAAACAAGCCGACAGTCTGAGGGGGAGTGTGTTGGTGCATATTCGTTTGCACGTCATCCTGTCGTCTGTTCGCATCATTTCGTTGCATGTGTTTTGTGTGCTACGTTGTTTGTGTGGTTTGTTGGGTTTGCATGTCTTTGCATGTTCATCTTGTGCTTGTGCAGATGTGCTTGGATTGTGCATGACATCGAGCACATTCCAACGAGCCAAGAATTGTTGGAATCGGAGCACATATGAAGAAGTTACGAAGAAATGTTTGATGGATTTGTTACAACTCATTGGAAGTCCTTGTCAGCTGCTACACCAAAGTTGGAGAGCCCTATAACGAGGAGGGACCAGCATGTGTGGGACTTTTGTCCCCACCTTGCAGCTGCAGCATTTGGGGTTTGGAGGCCAACCTGGCACAGTGTGAATTTTGTCTTGCCAGGCTGGCTGAACCTGAGGATGGGGAGTCATTTGACTCTTGTCATGTTCTTGACCATGGGCCTCCAGGGTCCTTCCCTTTCATCCTTCCCTTCCACCCCACCTTCCAACTGTGCTTCAATGCCTTTTCCTATCATGCCTCTGAACTTGTAAGCTTCAATCATAGTGACTCTGAGGACTGTCAATTCTCCTAGGGCAGATTACCCCCAGTGCGCCAAACGCCATAGCTCACTCGAAGCTACGGAATCGAGTGATTCAACTTTCAGTGGAAAGCTGACGCTGCAAGCTACAACATATCCGATTTTCAGATCGTTTCACCGATTGGAGTTTTGATATAGCTTTTCGAAGGTCGCGAGTTTTCTGGGCGTCATAACGAAGTGCTGCAGAAATTTCCAAGGAGCCATTGAATCATCTGCTTATAGCCTTCTCTAACCAACAAGTGGTATCAGAGCCATTATCACGCATTTGGGACCTAAAATACGATGGGAGATAAGAGGACTCTGGTGGAGGTGATACTTCAGTCCAAGGAGGCAGCTCAACCCAAGATTCTGGCATTGCAGCGCAAAGGGGAGCGCGTACAAGCCAGGGGTCACTGCTTAAGGAGGTGCTGAAGAACTTCACCATTGAGAAGTTCTCTGGAGATGGCTATGATGATTGGGCATGGAAGATGCAGCTCTACTTTCGACAAATTGGCCTCTTGAAGCTCATGATTGGAACGGAGCCAAGGCCAAAGGAAATGGCAGAGCAAGCGGACTGGGATGAACGTTCATCTGCTGGGTATTATCTACTGTCACAAAGCTTGGAGCTGAACCAGAGGCATCACATCATGCATCTGCTACCGGAAATGATTGTGGGCCCAAGGCATGGGCAGTGCTCAAGGACCTGCACGCTCCGACATCGGTTGCCGCTTCTCTCATGCTGGATCGGGAGCTGTCCATGCTGCGGTTGAGCGAGAATGAACCTGTGCAGCCCGTACTGGACAAGATGAGGGAACTCTACGCGAAATTGGCGATTGCTGGCATCACGTACCCGAGCAGACAAGTGTCTCAAGATGCTCAGCCTGCTGCCGAGTCTTGGCTGCAATTTATAAGCGGACTCAGCTTGCCACAAAACCAAAGTCAATGGACATTGGAGTGGATTCGCACCAAGATTCTGGAAGAAGATTTTCGTCGCTATACACTGCGCGGAGGTGATGACAGCACCAGCGGCTATGCCATGCAAGGGACATGGAGGGATCGAGGGCGTGGCAATCGCGGTCGCTCTTACCACAGCCAAGGTGGTCGCGGGACTTGGAACCAGCGGGGCGTGGTGGCGCTGGTGCAAGAGGAAGAGGTGGTCACTCCAACAATGACAACAGTGAACCACGCTTGAGGGGAGAGTGCTGGTATTGCAAGGAAGAAGGGCATCCATGGTTTCGCTGCTCTACCAAGCCCGACTGGTGGACCCCTTGGAACCAATCGCAAAGGGGAATGGAGGAAAGCAACCACATGGAGGTGCCAACATGGTAGCTGATCCTGCTGAAGAAACCTCCAAGGATGACAGAGGAATGGGAAATGAGGAGAGGAATGCTGGACAGTTCTACCATGTGTGTGACAAAGATGACAGTGGCACAGCTGTTGCAAGGGCTGGAGAGGAATTGCACCCGCTTGACATGTGGGTCATGGACTCTGGTGCTGCATGGACAATGACACCACGCAAGGACTTGCTGGATGCTGTGCGAGCGCCTCCAATCTCTGAAGTGCGCTCAGCATCCGGACATGCAGTGAAGGTCGCTGGAGTTGGTCGAGCTGCATTCAGAGCACCTGATGGTGGACTGGTTGTGCTGAAGGACGTGTTACTCGTACCGGGGCTGAAGGCCAATCTGATATCGCTGCGCAAGCTAGGCCAGGCCGGAGTCAGCACCACCACCAATGGATCCAAAACATTCAAGGGGCTGCGAGGAGATCGTGTGTATGGGATTTACACGAAAGCAGAGATGTCTTCAGATCCATGTGGCAGATCCCTGCACTGATATGGGAATCAACAAAGAAGGAGTTGGGAGAGTAAAGGCGGGATCTGGAGTCCAGGGGGAGTGCAATGCAGTTAGTGCTGCAGGAGTGACGTTTCTGCAAGGTCGGGGGAGACTGATTGGGAAACCGCACACAGGCGTCTAGGGCATGTGGCTATGCCATTGCTGCAGCAACTGCATAAGGAAGAAGCAGTAAAGGGGCTGAAGCTTTCTGGGCAACCAAATGATACCAAGTGCGAGACGTGTCTGCTGAGCAAGTTCACACGGTTCCCCTTTCACGGCGTAGCTGGGAAAAGCAAGGCAGCACTGGAACTGGTGCACATGGACCTGGTAGGACCTTTTCCAGTTCGAGGAAGTAAGGGGGAAAGATACTTCCTGACAATAGTTGATGACTGGAGTCGGCTGATGTGGGCATACCCGTTGAAGCAGAAGGATCATGCTGCCTCAACAATACGAGATGACTGGCTGCCGTTCGTCGAGCGACAATCTGGGCACCCATGCAAGAGCATCAGAACCGACCGAGGTGGAGAGTTTCTAGGAGGAGATCTGACTGCGTGGCTCAAGAAACAAGGCATTGAGCATCAGCTAACGACGTCCTATACCCCTCAGTCAAATGGCGTTGCTGAGAGGGCTAATAGGACCATCCTGGAAACTGCGCGAGCGCTGCTGATCGAATCAGGGCTGGGGAACTCCATGTGGCCTCATGCGGTGAGGCATGCTACAGTGGCAAGGAACCGCGTACTCACAAAGGTGGCTGATGATATGTGGGTGCCGCTGGAGAGGTGGCTTGGAAAGAAGCCTCCAGTGGACATGCTTAGAGTGTTCGGATGCATGGCAGTGGCGCATGTCCCTAAACCGTACAGGACAAAGCTTGGAGCATCTGCACTGTGGTGTGTGCACCTTGGGCTTGCGGCAGGAGCAAGGGGTGGCTACTCTGGGAGCCCTCAAAGAATGTGCTGTTTGACAGTCGGGATGTCAAATTTGTGGAGAACATCATGTATGGCAAGTGGGAGAAGCAGCCGGAGGCAAGGGTCACCCAGCAGCTGGAAGAGATCACTATGCACTTCGATTTGTCCGAACCTGAGGACAGCGAAGTCACTGCGCCAACGGCAAGCGGTACTGATGAAGGAAGCAATGAGGATATTGCAGCTGATGCTGAAGTCAAGGATCCGGAGCAGCAGCAGCAAGAGGCTTCCAAAACACCAAGTCTGCCAAAGCGAAGGAAACAGATTGGTGGGGGGACAAAGGATTGGGTGAAGGTGAAAGAATGGGTAAATCCAACCACTACCCTGCACGTACCAGAATGGCAACGAGAAAGCTGCTGAGCTCTACAAGTGGAGGAGCCACAACTGAGCAACAGCAACAGGCTCAAGGCGAAGATGCAGTGCTGTTCTTGGGTGATGACCAAGAGTCAGATGACGAGGAGCCTGCATACTGCTTTTACGCACCAATACAACCTCCGAGCATGGATCATGCGCTAGCCGGGCCTCAACGGGGGAAGTGGCTCGTTTCAAGAGATGCAGAGTACAACAGCCAGATGGAGAATCACACATGGGACCTGGTACTTGCCAAATGGGAAGAAGGCATACAGTGCAAGTGGCTGGCAAAAATCAAGACGGATGAGAAAGGAGAGCCATCAGTTTACAAGAGCAGGCTGGTGGCAAAGGGGTTTCAGCAGAAAGAGAAGGAAGATACAAAGAAGTGTTTGCCCAACTGCTAAGTCTCCAACGCTACGTGTGCTGCTGGCGGTAGCTGCTGTGCGCAAATGGAAGGTGAAGCAGATGGACATCGTAACCCGCTTTTCTGTACGGCATTGTGGAAAGAGGAGGTGTACATGGTTCACCACCTGGCTATGAGGATGGAACGGTCGTTGTCTGCAAACTTAACAAGGCCATCTATGGCTTGAAGCAGGCCCCGAGATGCTGGTACAACAGGCTGGCCAGTGCATGGAAGGGATTGGATTCCGTGCGAGTGCATGCGACGAGAGCCTATTCCTGATGGGCGAGGGGGAGTCGCTTGTGCTTCTGCTGGTGTACGTGGATGACATCCTGCTCTTCAGCAGCAGTGACAAGGAGATCGATGGAGTGCAGCGGAAGCTCACAGAGCAGTTCAGTGCAAGTCACTTGGAGAGGCAAGGTACTACCTGGGAATGCACATTGAGCGGGATACTGAACGTGGCTGGCTCAAACTGCATCAGGGACAGTACATCAACACCTTGCTGAGAAGTACTCTCTGCAGGAAGAACGGGAAGTGGTTACACCTTTGCCTTCCGAGTTCAAACTCATAAAGGCAGCTGAAGGAGAAGGAGTTGAGAGTGAAGACCAGAGGCAATTCCA